TTTTTTCGTTGCACGTTTCTGCAGTTGCGCAGTCATATTTGAACACGACGCCCCAAACAACTTTTTCCTCAAGTTACCACCTGCAGTAGTCCGGTTTTTCGTAAAAATGGTTGCGGTGGTCACTACTCTCACCCTAAGCTTGGGTGCGGGAAAGCCTGGTCTATTGACTGCCATTCAAAACTTAAATGGATCTAGTTATAACACTCCAGATCCTGAGCTAGCCACGTGCAGCGATGCACGAAAATAACGGGAGTTCAGCAAAGCGATTTGCTGAGTCAACGCAGCGTGCGTTGAATAAGAGACGTGGCGACACGTTTAAAGATCGGCGCGAGCCGTGATATGGCCTTATAAGGCCAGTACACCCATGTCGCCAGTACTCATAGCTCACAATATGAGAAGAACGAATGACAGGGACATTAAGGTCCAATACAAGATATACTCAATAAGTCAAGAATAACGAGTGACTTGTAGTGACATTAAGATGTCTCAAAGTACTGAACATGTAAAATTAAGAGACTTATGAGTTTAAAGAGTTTAGACGTCCAAGAAGTGGTTACAGACTCTTAGTGCTGTGTGTACTCTGTTTAGTAATCGCGGAGGAGACGTCCGTTGCATTGCGCTTGAAGTTCTGTCCAGGATAATGCATAGGCATAACTCGACTAGTAGGCGCTGTTATCTAAATCTAGGCCCAGGGTCAAAGAGAGCCGAGCAAAGACCAAGTTCTAGACCATGGCGACGGAGTATATGTAGTCCATTGGTTTGTAGTCAGGTGTACTTATTAAGACCCTTGAGTCATCGTAGCTTATTAAGAAACAGACTGCTCGTATCTCGTCAACCAGGTGGAGGGCCTCTACAATTAAACGGTTACTCTCAGCCAATTCCCTACACGTTTTCAGTAGCTACTGATGGCCCAGTTACTTGAGTTGCACAGACCGGTATAACCTAAACATGAGTAAGAATAACCAAATTGACCAAGATACTCGCGTATACTCAGTAGACGAAAGTTTTGTACCGAACGTGTTCAGCTGAGATATACCTACCCCTCTCTATTGGAAGGTCGGTACTCCCCCTCTAAAGAACCTTGCTGTGATGTTGTTGACGATGATCTGGGCTTCCACTTCGCACTACCTCCCCAACAACCTTTAGTACCACCTCTATCGTGACCTCCCTTATTATAACCAATATCTAACGTAGCGCCTAGTACCGCGCCAGTGGAGCTTGATCTGGAAACCTTCACCCAACGACCCGGAGTTGAAGAATAAGTAGATCACTGTCACATATTGCCGCCACTCTACGAGCTTTAAACTATTTTCTTGAACAAAAGTCAAGATTTGTGTTTTAGGAGGAACTCTGACGTCAGAAGACTGGACTCGTGAGTACATGAGCATGCTTGATACACCTCGCTTACCTTATAATAATAGGTCTTTTTCCAGAAGCTACCAAGCTACGGTTGAGAGATCGTAAAGTAAGAGCCCACAAGCTTTCAGTGAATTTCTCTTCCAACCCCGTAAACTCAACGTATCAACATCTCTCTACAGCTCCAGTACTTCTGTAGTGGACCTACTCCAGATTACATGGTTCCGAAAAGCAAATAAGTGAGCACGTTGAGACGTGGTAAAAAGGAGTTAAGCGTCTCGAGCCGCAACAGATAAATGCTCTTTACTATACCCCCTAGAAAAAAATAGATAGCGTTCAGGTAGTCGAGTTAAAGCGTGTAGTAAAGTATGCTGTTTCGACAAGGTTGGAGCAACTATTAGAACCACTGCAGTGAGAACAACTATAGTTAGGGCTTACTGAAAGCATTACATAAGAAATGGGTATAGCTTTTGATACCTCGTAAACAGCAGCTTTTAGATGGATCTCACTCTATACGTTCGCAAACAGTTGGATCCATAAACACACCCCTGAACAGTAATGCGAGTATAAACGAGCTCTGGCTTGACGTACGCTGTCCATGTACCACGAGT